GGGGGGACAGAAATGGGGGAGAGGGACAGGAATGGAGGAGGGACAGAAATAGGGATAGAAATGGGGAGAATCACTGGGGCCTGTGCAGGCTGACCCCGGGCAGATTTCCCAAAATCGCCTCACCTGGGCCAGGCAGAGGAACAGAACATGAGGGGGCAATTGTGACTCTACAGAGCCCGGGATGGCCTTTGCTGGCCTTTGCTGGCCTTTGCTGGCCTTTGCTGGTCACTCCGGGCTGCCGGGGGTCAGTCCTGCCCTCACCCCCTCGGCAATTTCGGTTTCCCTCTCTCGCGGTTCGGGATTTCCTCAGTTCCCCAATTCTCACGCAGTGAGTCACAGCAGCTCCTCAAAATGAAAAAACCCTGAAATTAGATCACCAGAAAGCATTTTTGCAGGTTTTTTTCTGCTCACAGTATTATCCAGATTTTCTGATTGAAGCCTTTCCTAAATGAAATGTGAAATAAGAGCGAGGATTTTTAATGTGAATTGAACATGTTGTTGTTTTTTAAATAAAAACCCCAAAAATCTCCCCTCGCAGAGCTTTGGGCAGAATCCTCCCACCATAAATTGTTCTTCAAGGACTCTGCGTCAGAAAAATTACAAATACCAATGTTTCAGGAAATAAGGAAATACCTTTCCTTATTTGTGTAGTGGTGTAGTTTATGGAGACACAAACTGCTTTTATCCATCCACAGCATCAATATCAATACAGTTTCAGGACTTTCATTAGTGTTTTAAACTGATAAACATTTAAAATAATAAATGAGTATTTAAAAATAATAAAGATTTAAAATAATAAACTGGTTTTTTTTAAAATTATAAACTTCTAAAATAATAAACTAGTGTTTTAAAATTATAAACATGTAAAATAATAAAATATTATTTTAAAATTATAAACATTTAAAATAATAAACTAGTATTTCAAAATGATAAAGGTCTTAATAAACTAGTGTTTTAAAATGATAAAGATTTAAAATAATAAACTAGTGTTTTAAAAATATAAACATTAAAAATATCAATTATCATTGACTTGGAGGTCTTGTTTCATATATTGGAGTGAAAATTTTCCCTTGCCGGATTGATGTTATTGGGGGAATTTCTGAATTTGTTCAATTATCGTTTATTTCATTATCAGTTATCAGTTATCAATTATCAATTATCAATTATCATTGACTTGGAGGTTGTGTTTCAATATATGAGAGTGAAAATCTTCCCTTGCCAGATTGATATTATTCCCTGGACAGGTTACCCTGTGAAAAAGAAGGAAAAATCCATGATTCTGTGCAGTATTTTGCATTATTGAATTGCAGTATATTGGATTATTGAATTACAGTATTTTGTATTATTGAGTTGCAGTATTTTGGATTATTGAGTTGCTGCAGTATTTTGGATAACTGAATTGCAATATTTTGGAATATTCGTTTGCTGGAGTATTTTGGATTATTGAATTGCAATATTTTGGATTATTGAGTTGCAGTATTTTGGATTATTGAGTTGCAGTATTTTGGATTATTCCATTGCTGCAGTATTTTGGGCAGTCGAGCCAATCTGATTTTGGTTAATCCATCCACCTTTCTATTCCGCTTTGTGGCTGCTTTGTTATCTTTGTTATGTGGCCTGGGCTTTGACCCATCCAACTTGGAATGGTGTTTTCTTGGCTATATCTAATAATAATAATAATAATAATAATAATAATAATAATAATAATAATAATAATAATAATAATAATGGTGTTTTCCTGGCTATATCTAACAATTTTGCGTAAGAGTGAGTACAGGGGACGAGCATTAATAGAAAATCCAAGTGTGTGTTTTCTCCTCTATTCCAAAGTGCCCATTAATTGCTGTAATTCTTTCATTGTATTTCATTTGTGTTTGTTCCATTTCCTTTCAAGTGTCTGGAGGAACTACTGCACTACCAGCCAGCCGCTAAGTGCCCAAAAATTTGACTTTTTTACCCGGTCCTTGATGTTTTTCAGGTGGGATTCCAATTCCTGCCTCACACAGTCTTCCCCATACCACTGCTCCCTCCACTTTTTCACAGGAATCTCCTCTAATTAGCATGTCATTTGCATACGGATACAGCATCACACCTGGGAAGTGGCACCCTCTGTGACAATCCAGCAATGCGCAATTGTGGGTGAATGTTTGCACCCCTGGGGAACTGTTGAAAATTTACTGTGCATCCTCCCAGGTCAAAGCAAATCTCTCTTGATCCTTCTCTTGTCAGGGAACCATAAAGAACATTTCTTTTATATCCAGTACTGCCATCTATGGGTGTGCACCTGCTTGGAATGGATTTGTCCTTTCTCCAAATCAGCTGCAGCCTCCGAAACTCCTTCCCGTGCTGCARCAGGAATTGGGTGTTGCGATCCATTGGTAATTTTGGAATTATTTTGCAGTGAAAGTTCCCAGTTCTCAGCTGGGGAAGAGTTGATATTCGAACCGAAGGAGCACACGCTGCCATCTGGCACACACCAGGTTCAACTGTTCAAAACATCAAAGCCCGGAATCTTTTCATTGTGATCTTTAATTGCAGAGTAGAAGACACGAACTTCTCCCCCAGGAGCCATAAATTACCTTGAGCAGTTTTACACACAACACTGGCTCTGTTTACTCCAGCGATTTGAACTCTTTGCCATCTAAGTTGTACACCCAGCCTTTTGGCATCATGCTGTGGTAATGCTAAAATTTGTSCTCCCGTATCAATTAGAAATTCAGTTAACTGACAACAGAAACCAACTCTAATTAGAATATATTGGCCATTTTTATCTGTTCGTTGATAAGCTTCTACTTGCCAGACTGAGAGTATTTTATTAGTTTTTTGAGTTCTGATTAAGGGAAGAAAAAGGGTTACTATTCCTCCTGGGAGCTGATGCTGGCACTGATTTTAGTGTCTGTGTGTTCCGAGTATTTTTTCCCTGATTCTTGTCATTTTCCTTCAGAAATGCATCAATTAAGCTCTGATTATTACTAACAGACTGTCTCTGAAGCATAGTTTTTGGAATAGCAGGGGAGAGTTCAGACATGACTTATTATCCTGTTTAGAATATTAAAAGAATTAAYGGAATTACCAGATGCTTTCCTCTCTCCCCGGCCCCGTGTGCCACCCTGCTGGTTATCCACTGGGGATCATTTGGGGCRGGAGGGACAGAAGATAAAATAACACCCAGACCCCAGAACCCATGGGTTTCTTCACCACTCCGTAGGATTAGCTCTCCTCCCATTAAAGAAATACCACAAATGCTCCGTTTCAGTTTAACCGGGCTGACAGCTGGGGCTTTCTTGTAAAGGAACCATCGCAATGGGATCATCCGGAGTTGTCTTTGGGCTGTGATTTCTGCRTCCACCCCGAGCTCCAGTGCTTACCTCAGCTTTTATAATGGCTCTGGCTTCATACACAGAATGGTCAGGGGGTTAAAAATCATCTTCCCCTGTTCGGTTATCACTGGGATCACTGCACACGTCACCACCTCACTCATCAGGAGATGCAATTAATTTCCTAATTTGCACAATCTCAGGGGCTTTTGGAGCCTTCATAAGCCTTAGCTCAGCGTTTTCTCCAGTTTTCCTTTCTCTTTCTGTTCTTGCTCTTATTTTTTCTCATCTCTTCCAATTGCAAAGACAGCAATAATGCTTTTGATTTCAGTTTTCACTTCAGCTTTCGGATCTTGTTCCTTTTTAATCCTTTCTTTTCACTATTGGTACGCGGGTCCTAAACAGGCACCTGACATTTTGCAAATCATTCCTTTCTCTTTCCTGTCCTTTGAACGGCCCCTAGCATAGTTTAAATGTGATTCCACAGCTTCCCAATCWCACCAATTATCCCGAAACAATTTGTCCAAGAAGCTGAGGAGGCTTGGACTTGTTCCATGCCTTTGTAAGTAGTTAGTGATGTTACTGCCATGCTGCCGAGGTATGCCAAATTGTACTAAATTGTGCCAAATGAGTGCTCTTGAGATGGCCCAAAAGATCACTGAAAAGGGGATGAGTGAGAGTMAGATTTAATTTGAACCATAAAGCACAACAGGTTCGTTGGCAAGATTTGCTCTACTTACAAACGACAGMTAAGGCACAACGAGGAAAAGTGAGCAACAACAAAACAAAACAAAATCCAGGCAATCAAAACAGAAATGAAWCGAAGACTCAGGTCCCACCCTGAGGTAGATGACTTCCTTCATCAAAAGAGTTAGAGAAGCTCCTGTTGGGTCACGAGGTGCAGAAAG